TTCCAAATATCCTCCAACTCATTGAGATTACATTCTATGAAGGCAGTGTGGAAACAACTTTTTGCTTTACTAGTGCACTGATGAGCAAGGAAAATTTTTGGAGCAAACTGCCACAGCCAGACTGAATTCAATGTGAAACCAGAGCATAACAGTGCAGCTGGAGTTGGATGGCTCTTTCGGGCTGGGGGCACACAGCAGCTGTATCTGTCCCTCTCTTATTCTGGGCCTGATAGTGAGAGAACCCAGTTCCACAAATGGATGATGACTCGATTCAGCTTCCTGTGCTATCACAGGGTGCTGGCATAACTGACTTTGTAGGAACAGAGAAGGGCAGCAGTGCTGCTTGTATCCACCTGCTCTGCAACACGCCTCAAGCATCCAACTGCAGCAAGCTGTGCTACAAATACTGCCAGCAACACTGATTTCTTCTACTTCTCGTACCTCTTCCTACCACCATGAGAGATCAATCAACAAACCCTGAGACACAAGAGTCAGTAAAATTTTCAGCATCAGAAGTATAAAGCAAGTTGTTAGTCAAAAGAAAAGTACTGTGTTTTGACTAACACCTTCCTGCACAGTGCCTTACACTACATGAAGTGCATCAATTCTGAATTCCCCTGACTGCCCACACAGGTTAGCAGTTTGTAAGGAACAGAAAGAATAAACATAGCAGAACAGGAGCTTTAAATATCCGTTTCTATATCAATGTTCTTACACGTCTCACTGCCTTCTTCCCAGATCTCCAACATTAGATTCTGCCCTTTGTAATTTCTCCTTCAGACAAGTTTATCCGGGCCAGATGAGCCCTGTAAAAGAGCTTTCTGAGGTGCACTGTCACGCAACACACATGGGATTTCTGGTGGTGCAGCTTCTCTATCTCACAGCTCATTGTGCAGAAAAAGGTGTATGACTCCTATGACCATCTAGGCAGTTGCTTTAAGTATTCTCTGATGTGACAAAACGGTAGGGAGGGGGAAAGTATCAGGAGCCTGGATAAGAGGGGCAAAAATTGAAATATCTGTTTAAATTTTATTACAGTTGTGCTCTCACAGCAGTTAAGCTGGGTCTGCTCTGATACCCTAGCTGCCATGGTCACCACTTGATCTAGTTGAGAGCTGGACAAGCAGCTGTTTCTTTTGTTACGCTCACACACGCCTGCACTGCAAGCTCTGAGCAGCGCTGTGCTGCTTTCATGAAGACAGACCAGTGCCTGACCTGGTCCATAGCTCACCACAGTGAATGTGCCTGATCAGAGGTACATGAATGACTCTGGAGCAACCAAGTGAGCATACACTGAAGCAGCAATGAACCTCCTCGAGGGGAGAGCCTCTACAGTCAGATTTACTATACTGCATTTTGATGATAAAATTCGAGTTCTCTCTTACTACATATCAGCCTTCCATCAAGTCCTCCAACTGCTATACGGAACTGTAAGATTAGAGGCTGAAGTGACACCGATGGACTCCTGAGAGAAGAAACTGCAACCTCAGTCAGTGACACAGATAAATTTAAATCAGACTGTGTATGTGACATGATACATAAGTAGGTCCTGCCTCCATTAGTTTTGCTTTTGCTGTAGCAACCAGTTGTTACCTATTGCACTTGCACTCTGAGGTTCCACAGAAGCAAGTAATAACTCGAAATACATGCCTCACAAACTGTGACAAAGCATTTAAAGGAAACGCTGCACGCATAAAGCTGTTAAGAAACTGAGCTAAACTCCATCCTTTTCTGAATGAGGAAACGGCACAGGAGAGAAGAAAAAAACGACCCAAGAGGCCACACAGTGTTAATAAACACACACTGCAGAACTGCATTACAGAAATCGGTACACAGGACGCTGTGCATTACGACCACTCCGGACGGTCGACAAACAAGAGGCAAAGTGATTTCCTCTCTGATGTAACCAATCACCCACAGCCCCGCGCTGTCCTCGCCCCCGCCCCGCCCGCTGTCCGGGCACGCGCCGGGGAACTCCGCTCCGCTCCGCGCCCCCGGCCGCTCTAACGGCGCTTCCGCTTCCCACCGCGCCGGCTCCCGCCTACAGTCCGGCCCGGCACTTGCCTCCTTCTTCACGTCGGCCATCTCGTCTTCTGTCAACGGCCGCCCGACCGCGCTCGAGGCCGGGCCAGAGACCTCCATCGCGGAACCCCTCCGAACGCACCGCCGCGAAAACCTCCCCCGGCCCCGCTTCCGGCCCCGCCCGCGCCGCGCCGCGCCGCGCCCCGCCCGCCGGCCCACGAGGAAGGCACGCGGCCGTCCCGCCCACGGGCGCACGCGCAGTGAGGCGCCGCGCCGCTGCGGTGGTGCCGGCGCTGGCGCTCGGTGTTGTGCTGCTGCGCCGTTTGGCTCGTGGAGTCACACGAGTCATTAAGGGTGGAAAACGTCTCTAAGGTCATCTAGCTCAGCCGTCAGCCCGTGACCTCCACGTCCCTCAGTGCCACATACTCCGGGTGCTCAGGGATACCTGCGTTGTTCCGCTGGCTTATTAATGACCACGTTGCATAGCAAACATCCTGCCCAGAACGCTTCAGAAATACAGGAATGCTCACTGTTCTGATCTCCGTAGAGCTGAATGTTAAAATCACCCCAGATGACTGCAAGAACAAAGAGCACTGCAGGGGAGTTTGAGCACCTGCACTGATGCTCCCTAATCTGTCGCACCCAAACGTGTGCTTTGAGATCCTCTGGAGCTCCCAGCAAGGTGCTGTGGCACTGCTGAGCTGAGGCAGGTGTCCTCCAGCTCCCCACTCCCACACTTGGTCATTAACCAAATGTCTTCCAGCTCCTCTTCAGGGGGAATTCTGCTGAATTCTGCTGTTTCTGTACAATAGTTCTGATAAAAATAGCTGCTGTGCACTCTGGAATCAGGATATTAATAACCCCACTCGGTGAGAGGTGCAGTTCAAAGCAGCACCTGAAGAGCTGGGCTTCTGGATCCCCGCATCACAGTGGCCAGCATGGGACAAGCTGGAAGGAATTAACTGTGGGTAGAGAACTCAATAATAGAATAGATTTTAGCAGATTTACTGCCAATAAAACCGGAATTAAGAGCCCAGCATCCGAAAGAAGACTGCTTTCAGTATGATACTCATTTCAGGAGGTTAGCATCAGTTCAATACTGATAAGTGAGCCTCAGTGAGGAGAGAGCTAGAGAACTCTTTTTTGAAGGGAGGTGGGAAGATTTCAGACACTGCACTGGTTTGTATAATTATGAATGTGCACACATTTAGAAGAAATTTCTAAGTCAGAGAAGTTTCAGAAACTGCTTACAACAAAGCTCTGTTCAAATCGCTCACACGTGGGCCCTGCAAGCACTGTAACACTATTGGTTTGTGAGGCCGCTGGGCCTTGCAGCACTATGGCTGGCTGCTGATTCCCCCCCTTCTGCCCACACTGATCAGCCTCTCCCCAGGCAGCCTCACTGCATAGCAAGGCCTCTCCCTGGGAGCTTCGTGTTCCACAGCAGTGCTGCCCTAGGGAGGAAGATGAAAGCTCCAGGCAAAGACCTTGGTCCAGTCAAAGACACAGATCAGGGGTCTTGACCAAACTGAATGGATTTCTGGAGCTAACAACTGCAGCTTTCAAATGACAAACCCACAGCAATCAGCCTACGCCTTGTGGATTTGGGGGGTGAGGTGAGGTAGCTGAGAATATGAGGATATCTGGAATTCAGGATGCAGGAGATTGTGACTGATGCTTTTTTTGGCAGGTTGTACCTGAAACATTCACAAACCCAGTGCAGGAAGACTTGATTTGCTGATATCCTACAGCTAAATTTCTCAAAGAGCACTTCTTTTTAAATGACTGTCATATTTTGCTTTTCAAGGTTTAAATATTTTATGAGGTGCTTGTTGATGTGGCAAATGAGAGTTGTATAGCTTTTGTACTATTTTAAATTACTGACATTCAGAAACAAATCCAAGTAAACTGGTACCAACTCTCCTGTATACAGATACACAAAGATGCGTCTAAATGACGTAGTTCACTATGTGAAGTAATTGCACCAAGCAGAATGTATCCACAGCAGAGGTAGCACTGATTTATAAATACTAATATAAACCTACAATGCAGTATAAATCATTTAACCTGTGTAATTAAATTAGTACGAAGGCTGTATTTAGATTAGACTAGCTCTAACTACGTCTTTACTTGTTCTTCAATCTCCAGCAAGAATATTCAGTTCTGCTCTGTTTAAAGTCATCTTCCTAGACAAACTATACTACTGTAATTCTTTTGCTCCAGTACTATTATTTTATGCTGGATTTCTTAAAAGAATAGAAGCAACAACACTGAGGCCTTGAACAATTAAAGCTCGGGTTGCCACCAGGTGGCACTGAAGGCCTACGAGCATTTAATGCCCACGGCCTCCAGGCCTGGAGTCACGCATTACCTCCTGGTACCGTTACTCTGGATATCAGAGCCTAATGTCATTGGAGCACAAGGGTCCATGCAGAGATTAGCTCCACCTGCATCATTTGTAGCACATGAGAAGAAATATTTGGATATAAAACGTACAGCCATCAGCCATATTACTATTACACAACATTTGAAATACAATCAACTCCCTTGACATCTTGTGGGGGAGAAAGACACAAGTGCTACTTTAAGAATTAAAACACCACAGTCATGCCACTCAACTTTTGTCATTTTAACTGTTGTAACTTGCATTAAATATATGCATGACAGAAAAACAAACTGCACTACAGTAGTATCTATTTAGTTATCTTGAAATAATAAAATTCATTACAACCACTGTACCTAGAACACTTGGCCAATACCTCTACCTACATTATTCTTAAATGTAAGTCTAAAATAACTTTTTTTTTTTAAAAAGAGCCAAGTTTTCTTCTAACATGCTGAAAGATTTTAACAGTCCTGTATATTACTGGCTTTTTCCTAGGCATGTAGCAAGCTTCGTAATAAAAAGATGTCAAGAAACATTATTAAATTAAATGCAGGTGCTTGCAGTTTCAGAATAAGAGGCAAAAACTACACAGTTCACAGTACAATTGACACTTTATTCCATTGTGATGGGGATATATAGTATTGAAACTGCAAGAGTCAAAAAAGAGGGAAAAAAAAGTGCAAATCTCTATTAGAACAGATTATGGAATGTGTTGATGTTTTTGGCACAGAAAGTGGGAAACTGTGTACTGCAACAAGATTTTAAGTTTAATGAAATGTAACACTTCTGTGTTTAGTAGTCATATTTGTGCACTGCAGAACAATACAACAAAAAACAGTGACTAACAATTCACATGCAGCTCTATACAAGTTACATCATACATCCAGTTAAACCTTTTCTGAAAATACATGAGGTCCAATTATACTTTGTTCACAATCACTTAACAAATACCATTCTTTAAGCAGTCTTATCTTTTCAGTTTCCTCATTGATAAAAACAAAAATAGAGTCTTAAATAGTAAATTATTTTCTCCAAATGGCTCCACAAGAAAGCTGGTATTTTCTGTTGAAGTAATTTGGCTCTGCTTGATTAATATAATGTTCAAGAAGCTGAGTGAAATCAAAAGCTTATTTTTCCCATATTTTATCTCCAATTTACTGTGAGCAAACAGAAAATCAGATTCGTTGTTCTGCATTTCACTGAATGTTTATTTTTAAAACTCAGCTTGGTGGTACTTATCACCTCTGTACCTATGACCTCTGGAATTCATCCAAAAATCAGAGAACAGCTTCATATAGTGGCAGCTATTTAAGACCAAAAGCGAGTGTATTAGCATGGAAGTGACAAAAAATGCTGAAATGGAAGAATTTGAGATTATCATATAAGTACAGAACACATTCACATTTTCATTGCAGAGAGAGATACTGTATTCACATTCTGTTGAAGAGAGAAACCCACATATCACAGCTCTTCTTGCACTAACAGTAAAGATAATATCTTTTAAAGACCTTTAAAGCATATTCTAGTTCTTTCATTTGATCTAAGCTAAACTGCTTGCTCAAAATGAAAAAACCTCTGACAAGTAAATTTAAACCCCACTGCTGAGCTATTAACCACAAGATCTTCTTCACTGACCTGCTACGTCATGCAGCCCGACAGTTGTTATCAAATGTTTTCTGTGGGCAGTTCAGTGTCTCATCTCCTTGTTTTTGGTTTGGGATTTCATTTTATTATTTAAATCAGTTAAAGATGATGATTTACAGCTGACATCTGAGAAATGTCCTAGTGACAGGATGCACAGGATACCCATTAAATATGTACGTGTTACAGCAGGAATGTCCTTGCAAAGAAATTATTTGTTTGGACAACAGAAAAAGTAACAAACAGCAAGAAGCAGCACTTGGCATGATTTTAGTTCTTAGTACCATACTGCAAATGCACAAACTGAAGCGCTTTAAGTGTTTTTGCTTTATTATAATGACATCATAAAGATCAATGCTAAAAGCAGAGAGGTAAGGGCAATTCCACTAACCAGGTAACTTTTGGCATCAGACTAAGATTTAATTTTGAACTTTATGTTACGAGCCTATAAGACAGAGACAAAGCATGTGTGATTTAAAGCAACCAAATCCTGCCCCTAAAGTCAGAAAAGTTATATACAATTTGAAATCATCACCATAGGGAATTCAGATCCCTCAGCCATTCCCCTGCTCTTTCCATATACCAAAATGCAGCCTTGAAGGCAGGGAAATCTAACTAGCAACAGGTGAAAGACCAGCCTCACCTCTCCATGCCATGGGGAAACCAAGGAAAGCCACTATCACCCATTCAGTTTCTTTCAGAGACATAAGCTATGAGCAGTGTCTACCATATTTTGTCCTAAGAAGTGTTCTCCTTGTCACTCCCTATGTATACTGACACTCATCTTTCCAGCTCAAAGTAAGAGCAGACCCCTCGGTTTCTTCTCCCACCCGGCACCTACACAAGAAGGGAAAGAATTTAGGACAGTCTGTTATGGAGTGAAAAACAAGGAGGCAGAAAAAAACAACTGAAGTAGGAGAACTAAGGCAGCAGGAGGAAAATCTGCTTTGTGGCTGAAAGAAAAAAGCACTAATTATGCCACAAACTAGAAACTATAGTCTGAGGAAGAGAGTCAGGAGAAAAAACACAACAGAAATTTTGAGGCATAAATGGAATGGAGACCCCACAGCCCAGTGCTGGCACAGGACAGCTCCCACTCCTGGGTGAGAAGATGGAGGAATCAAGGCAAAGGGATGGGAATGAAGTGTAACCAGGCTCAGGAGTACAGACAGGGCAGGTGGGAGGGGGCATGCGGGCTTCATATGACAGCTCCCACAGATACAGATAAGGGTAAAGCTTGCCTTTAGACAGTCACAGTTAAATACTGCAGGGTTACTTTTTGGCACAAAATCTCTGCTGAGTATCAAGTCATTTTAAAATGAAGATGCCTTATCAGATACTTAAAAAGCACTGAGGGAAAGAGGGAAAGATTTCCCACTGCAATGTTTACATCCTTAGAGCTTGATCATGTGAGTCAGACTGAAATGATGGTGCATGGGAATGGAAGAGACAAAGGGGAAACCTCGAAAGAATTCTTTGGGACAGCACACAGCCATAAAAACATTTTGTTTGCTTGCCCTTGTCCTCTCTCTCATGATGCCTCTTGTCATCGCAGCATGCAGACAATGAGACACATATCCTGGTGGCTGACAGGATGTTTGCTCCACATTACTGCTAGGTGAGGTGAGAGTTGCACTGTGGAGTACCTACGGATATACGTACTTGTGTTTCCTCCCTTATGACAGTGTGGAAAAGTACACAGGTTTCCAAAGAATACTGAAGTATGTGCTTGGTTAGTGCTATTTGCTGTGCTACAGACTGACTCCCCACTCACTTCCGACTGTACCTTCGCACCATGTCACAAGTGGTTCAGGAAAGGTGGAGGAGGTGTCTAGGAAGTCAAAAACATGTTCTGACTGTTCGTAAGACTCTGGAGAGTTCCCACTGCTCTGTTTGGGAATTTCTCCATCCGTAGTTTACAAATGATTTAACAAGAAGCATGTGAATACAATGGGGTATGCTCCGCTTTACTGTGGCAAAAAAAAGTATGACTCAGCGGGTAAACATGCTGTGGAATTTGCTACAAAAAAATGTATTTGTTTTAACTGAATACCACAGTAAATATTCATGCAATTAAAAATTAAGATAGTCATTGTTCCAAGGAAAACTACCCCAAGGGCAAATTACACACACCAATCTTTCAGGAAACAATAGCTTCCCTTATTCCTGAGCATAGTCCAGGAATAACTGTCCTTCAACTCAATTCTATCATCCTTTCCTTTTGAATTTTGCTAGTATGTGGCCTTCAAAAGAGGAGAAAACAACAGAAAGGAGGAACAAATTAAAAAAAAAAAATTAAAAGCCCCAATTTTTTTGATTATTTTTTATAGCTTCAACTTTACTGAAAGCATCTGAGATTTTCATTTTTGTGGTCCAAATGTTCCCCAGCACCTGGCCTTTAAAGAAAACTCTTATTCTGTTGTCACCAAAGTGTAAGGACAGAGTATTAGCAGCAAAATGCCACCTGAACTTGCAGGCAGTGTCCTGTGTGGCTGCACTGTGAATTCTTTTTATGTCATCAAGTTTCCCAGGCAGGTACTGCCTTCAAACGCTCCTATCAGAGGACGGTTTTCCCAAGCTGCTACCTTGCATCTGAAACTAACAATACCCAGCAGCAGCGATGTGATATGGCTGAGACAGTGAGTGTAGACTACTGCCCACTGTTTCAGCTTCCTTACCACAGGAGATACCAAGTTCATGAGTCCTCTGAACTTTTTTCCACCCCCACTGACACTTTGCATCATTGAAAGTGAAAAGAAACAGAGGTGAAAGACTAAAGGAATAAAAGGAGTAGATCAAGAAAGAGAAAGAAAAAACACAGGAGAAGGGAGCAGTGCAAAAACAACAGAGGTGCTTGAAGTGTTGAGAATTAGTTGGTCATCTTAAAAATTTCACACAGGTAAGTTAGATTGCTAAAGCTTGGGGTTAGCCATTATAATTTTCTTCTGCCAGCCCACGGGACTAACACACTTCAGAGTTATGTGTCCCTCAATGAGAGCATACATCCACCTAAAATCTGCAAGGACATCATAAAAATACACAAAGCAAAAAATTTGTAAACAAGGGTTAGTAGCACAGTGGTACAGTAGATTGTCAATAAAAACAATAAAAGTGTGGATACAGATTTGTCTACCTTGTGTGTAACATTATTGCCAGTTACAAGGGAGGGACTTCTGTAAACTCATAATTCTGAAGTTTTGTTAATAAGCACAGAGCAACAGGTGAGTGACCCATCTACTTTCTCCAGTTCTGTGTTGGCAATTGGGATCAGCATGTGGTCCTTCAGTTTTTCAAAAACCTGTTTAGGAAAGGAAATGGCACAGAAATAATTACTTTTTATACCTCCTTAGTTTCCCTTTTCCCTAAGTATTCGAAGTAGTCACAGATTGATCAGTGGGTGCCATGCTTCTCACTGTAATTCAAGCTAACATTTACAGTGTATGCGGCCATTTGGCTGTGGCTCTCAGAGGGTTGCAAACATTAATACTGTTGGGCAGAAGGGGTACAGGAGACAAACAAAATCAGTGGAGAGAGACACAGATCCTCCCACCTTTTGAAAGCTTTTGCCATCTGATATTTCCCATGGCAGGATGTCACTCTTTCTGTAAAGCACTGAATTTCAGTTCCCAACCACTTCCTGGTGAGGCTGGGATGCCGGCAGTCTCCCAGCTGCCCCCAGCACATCCCTTACCTTTGCGCTCTCTGGGTACTCCTCAGGGGCTCGGTGCAGCAGGACGTGCCCTTTGCTGGGAATGTTTAAGTAGATGCAGTTTGCGGCGGCATCGTCGGGCACTGTCAGCTTGTCGTAGCGGTGGTCGCTCATCTGTTGCATGGTCTGTCGGGAGACACAAAGCACAACTATTGACCAAACACTGTAGTGGGCCCAAATAAATGCAAGAATAGAGCCTTCAAAAAAACCACTACGATTGCCAAGCCAGCCAAGAGCCATTTTGCTATGCAGCAGGGAGACCTGCTTTTATCTCTGCCTTCAAGGAAGAATCTACTAACCCTACCCAAGGACAGCAGTAGAAAACCTGTCAAATGGTTTCTGCAAGTGGCAGGATTAAGCAGGCTGCCCAACGGACAGTCAGTGGGGTCTTTTCCTTAAGTAGTGCACATTGAGTATGCAAACCTCCTGTTCACATTGATGAAAACTAGAGGTGCTCAGCCACCTTTGAAAAAAGCAGCCATCATTCAACACTCATCAAATGAGTATGAATTAGCACAAACAGGACAAGAATGGTTCCCAACTTGGATGTCAGCCCAATCTTAACTCTTTTCAAGGACCTCGTTTTTGCTTTCCAAGCAGTTACTTTTCACCAAGCACCTGTGCTGGGGAGCGAGATGACATGTCTGAGTTAATCCTCATTCCCAAGGGGACAACACAATAACCTTGTCAGCAGAGCTGGTGGTTTTCAGAAGGTTGGTTTATAAATATAGGGCTTATACACAAATTTGGACTTTCAGAGACAGAGACTCTCAGCACATGAGAAGCCTGAGATCCCAAGTTTTGGATTAGGCTCAACTTTTTAGTAAAGATGGAAAAAGCCTGGAGACAAGAAGCCTGACTCCCCATTGTATCATTCCGGCTTTACACCAGCTTCTCTGACAGAGACCTAGAATAAAGCAGAAGTGAACAAAGCCCAAAGCTTTGGCTCTGCCCAAAGCCTAAGCAAACTCAAGTGCTTCAGTTTCCCTCCTAGCTCTCCTTCATTCCCACACACATTACAAAGATGCAAACAGAAATAAAACAGCTTAGAAGTACTCACATTAGCATTATGTTAAAAATAAATCACTATTCTGTTAACAAAATTCTTCAAGGGAATTTACCCTTCTCAGCAAAACCCCACAGATCTAGACCACATAGCAGACTTTGATCTGTGGCACAGTTAAATTTATCTTCAAATTATCAGTAGGGTCATTTGTACTACTACTCATTCATAAGAAATACCATGTGGAACCTAATTATAATAACTACATCTAAAACATATTGTGAAGTACCAAAGCAGTACATACACGCATACTGCTACAGTAATTCCTTTCTAGGTCTGGATGCATTTTTCATGTCAGTCTGAGTCATCCACATCCCATGGAGAATGTGAAACTGGTAATGAAGAATGCCACGCATTCTTGAGGAAGCGTTATCATTTCTTGTTCTTTCTTCAATTGTGAAACTCTCCTCAGTTTCCAAGGTTGCACCTACCTCCATAAAAGGTTACTGTGCTTTGCTGAGAAACAATCCTTGCATCTTTACTTCACCGGATGTGTTTTTATTACTGTACTCCATGTGTTTGACTTCCCTGTTTATGCATTTGCTTCCGTTACATTGCCGTGATGCATGTGTTCAAGCTCTCCTCGATGCTGCAGGCATACAACAGCAGGTGACATGCCAGCAGAGCTGCTGCTGCTCTCCCTGGTAACAGCCTGCAGACTTGTCCTCTGCCTGCAGCCTCCTTCTCCTTCCTAACATAATCTATTTAAGTCTGGATTAAGGAATTGTTTTTACTAAACCTGCACTGAAATATACACAGCAGCAGAAGAAAAACTACTGCCTGGATTTCACTCAGCTCCCAGAAAGTTGTGCTTTCTCCGGTCCTCAGTGGTGAAAAAAAAAGTCCTGTACTGCAGGTTTTCTACATAAAACAGCTAATTCATCAGAAATGTACTGACTCACTGAGTAACATTTCCATAATAAATTACAAATGAATTCTCAAATGGAAGAGTATGGACACATCTCCCATTCACTTCCTTCCATGAAATGCTTCAGTTAGGAACACTCACAGCAAATTGAAGTGAAGACCAAATGCAAGGCCCTAACTGTCCTGCAGGAAACACAAACCAGCCTCAGGAAACTGAGCAGACAAATGCAAGGCATGCTGGAAGGACTGCTTTCAAGACTAAAAAGCTGGAAAATGGTGGCTGAATTAATTTAGAAACTAGCAAAGAGAAAAAACGAGCGAGAAAAAAAGACAAAGAATCATGGATGCTTAAGTCCACAGTTGCAGCAGTGGGGATGGGATCTATTCACTACAGTATCACTGTAAGAAAGCAGAACTGGCATTCTGACAACACAAAATTGCTCTCTCTTCCTCACCTTTTAAGATAAGAAGAAAATCATATATGCAAGCTTTCTTCTCTGTTTTAACTACATCTGCACGTTGAAGTAAAATTTCAAAAATCAATCTGTTGAGAGCGCGCTAAGGCAATAAACCCCAGACCTGTGCCCCGAAGAGTCTACGAACAAAGCAGAAATGTGCAGAAATGATGCAACCAGGCTATTTTAAAGACTCACGCTGTTGTATATTTCTATGGCAAAAAGTCACTGAGCACATACAGCTGGCCAGACAGGGCTTCGGGGCAGAGAAAGAGATAAAAGCAAGGCTCTTATTTTTTATCATATACTCCTGCAGAATACATATTTTTGGGAAATGAGCAGTTTACAAAGCCTGTAGCCCTTGCACAGTGCATCTGTGGAAGGCTGGCTTTCTGCCCACATGCATTGTATGACCAGCTATGTTAACAGTCAGGCATTTCCCGCATGCCTAGTTTTCTGGGAATTTTCTTCAGCCCGGAGAGGGTAATTTTCATTGCACATTCTCTCAGCCCTTAGTCATGCTTTCCTTATGTTGAAGTCATTCGCATAGCCTAAAATGCCTTTCCTATAGTTTTTTTTTTACAGTGTGTCCTCAGACAACTGAGGTAATGGATAAGCTAAATAATCCTAAATATGAAGCAGCATTATGCATAAAGGAAAAATGTGTATGTGTTCAGGGCCTATTATCTCAGCAGAGCTGAGATGACCACATGCACTTTTAAGGCAGGCCAGGTTCTGCCATGCACTCTGCCCCCTCACTGCCATCCAGGGGCTGCTCGGGTGAAGGATGCAGCAATCCCTCACATCCACACCCCCCAAGCAAAGCCCAACACAGCAACTGCTCTTCTTTCCAATGCAACAGTAAGCCCTGTGCCATAAACCAGAGATACTTGGTCTTATAGGCATCTCTCATCCCTTCGTAGCTTTCTCTTTTCCAGGTGACAGCCATAGCTTCCTTAGCTTATCTCTTTATTCAATACAAGGTATTTTTCAGGTTACAGATATTTGTTCACCTACTGCTCTTTTCATCTCTGCTCTATCTTTCTTTGAACAAAGGGATTGTGCATGCAAAGGGCATGTGGCAGCCAACATGCAGACACACCACAGCTTTAATTACTGGCATAATGATGTTTTCTGCCTGGCTCTCAGCTTAGCTGACAATCTCAGTGAGTCTAGCATCTTATTTCTGCAGTAACCATCAGTCAGGGCACATCATGTCATATGTGAAGCTCACTTTGTCATTCTCCCAGTCCATGCTGCACATCATTTTACATTTATCTACATTGACTTTCATTCACTGCTTTATTGTCCTGTCTCTGCTTCTTCAGTTCCTCAAGTTTGCCTCTTCATGTCTGGAGAAATCATCGACACTGGAGAAGGAAAACAACACTGTAGGGATGAAGAGGGGCTGGAGGGCCAAGCTGATGTTATGCCTGCCCATGCACTGTGGCTCTACACAGAACGCACGGCTTCCCAGCATATGGTGACAACAGTGATGGCAAGCAGGCAGAGGGGCGGACCAGAGGGCAGAGTTTGAAGAGCCTGATCTGCTCACATGTCAGACCTGTCAGAGGAATGCATCTACCCTGCTAACCAGAAGCTGCCCAGGCTGCATAGCCTCACGGCAGTGACAAACACATGCTTAAAGGGACACCTGCCTCACCTTGTTAAGAAAAATACAAACAACCTCATACAGCACGCTCTATTCTATAAAAACACTTTCGAATCTGGAACTTCCAAAAGACTCAATTCTCCAGCCTGTTTGCAAACTGAACAATGCTGACACTCAATTACACAGAAGAAAATCATTACAACACCCAATCTTAATTAAAAGAACCCACAAAGAGTTGTCTTATAAAGCAGCAGGCCATGCGGTACCCAGTGAAGACTGTGTCCTCTGGGACACCCCACACCCCACACTTGTGAAGTAATGGAAAGTCAGAAGGAGCTGAAAGTATGCAATGTCTCACAGGACCTGATCCAGAGTGAGCAACTATGAGCTAAAGGAAAGTGTTCAGAATCTTATACATTGACTAATTTTCCTATCTATAAGGCTGGGAGCAGCAAATGACGTCTCTGTTTCTGAGTTATACTAAGGAGCAGGTTGACAGCTGTTCTCTGGATTTTATTACCTTCTCTGCTGCAGCATTACATACATGTCCACACTCATCTGCACTTTCTGCTAATTCCCTACCTGAAGTCGTCCTCTTTGGATTATTAATATTAGCAATCATTTCCACAGCAACCCTTTGTGATATCATAAATAGAGGATGATGACTTCATGTGGGGAATAAGCAGAGGTACAAATGATGAATTCTTAAGAAATAAGAGACAATATGTTTGTTCTAACTTTTGCTTTACTAGAAAAGAAAGCCCCTGTACAGACAAGCAGTTGGATTGATGATCTTTAAGGTCTTTTCCATCCTGAGCAATTCTATGATTTTATGACAATAGCAAAAGCAGCTTTTCTGAGCCTTTCTGTTCTGCCCAGGGATACAGGATGCGTTGTAAGCACAAAGGATATATAATGCTTTCCCCTAGTTGCCCATTCCAGAAGTGCTTCTGCAGCTGGGCCAGAAATTCCATAGCTTGTATGCAGGCATTGCATCCCTGTTGCAATGCAGGCTAACAGCACTCTGCTTCTTAAAGCTGGCACACTGCAGGGACTAGGATTAGCCAAGCCACAATGAGAACAAAAGGCATTTAATCATGGGGAGGGGGCAACTCTGCCAACACTCTAGCAACTTCTTGCACCCAAGTCATTAAAAGCCCTGCTGTGATCACAGCTTTGGATACAGACCAAGGGCCCAGTTGCCCAAAAGAGACTTCCTTCTCCTTTACGCTTACAATGCAGTTTTGGTCAGCCTCCCTTGGCCTCTGTCAAAACAGAGGAGTTGTGTTTGTAATAGTGTCCTCTGGGGAATACATCAGGAGATGAATGAACAGCACTGCTCCCAACAGGAGATACTGAAACAGGGAACCTCTCAGATACCCTGGGATTGCTACTGAGCTACTTGTGTGGGGACAGGATGGCCTGGCCATAGACAAGTTCCTAAGCTGAAAGAGGTGCCCATCAGCACTATCCAAGTCCTCGCTCACCAGGGAAAGCAGAGGGACCTGTGCTCTGTGCCATCCAACCAGACTATATGAGGGACACAAACACAGCCTTTCTAGTTCACAGCAGATGCTGGATCACCATTCTCCATGCAATCCTATAATTTGCCTTTGTTGTTGAAGCCCGACCTGACTGGCTGGCTCTCATCCCCTGCCATCTGGGCCAGAACCTGGGTTGTGCCCCACGATGTGGGCAGCAGGGCACCAAGCCGTGCTGGCAGCACTGTGCCCACTACCTGGCCCCTCCAGCACCACAAGACTGGAGCCCAGAGATGACACTTCTGGAAAGCTCTTGGCCCCATCAGCAGTACAGAACCCTCCCCAAGGCATTATCTGCCCAACAGCCATGGCAAGCATTCAGCTACAGAATTACTGATGGGGTTAACTGCAAGAAAGAAATGTGCCCTGCGTATAGCAGAGGGAAGCTAATGTTTCAGATGTGGAAGCAAGGCAGGCCACAGTACTTTCTGTAGTTAATTTGCCTCTCTCTTTCACCAAGTTTCCTCGAGTGCCGCTTTTCAGCTGCAGCCCAAATAAATATTCTATACTTGCCAGAGCCTGAAGAGGATTTCATGGTTAGAACGTCACTTGTGATTTATTGCCTGCTCCTAGCATGTGCTCTATAATCCTAAACTCTGTGCACTCATTTTATAGTTCACTGGCAGTGCTCTCTGTTACACACACACAGCACTAAGCTCATGATAAACTGCACTCTGCCATACCCAAGCACCAGATTTCATTTATTCTTTTATTTTTAAGGAATTGTGTGGATACGTGAGTTGCAATGGCAAGAACAATCAAGAAAAACTGTTGTCTTTCAAACAAAAAACCCCTATTTTAAATATAAATGTTAGCCTAGCCTAGCACAGCAGCTCACTTGTTGGCCACCAAGACACACTGGAGGATAAAATGAATGTAACTACCACAGGTGCTCAAAAGCAGCTCAATTGCTTTTCTTGCTCAACAGGATTTCCAGTGCAGAAGGCAGCCACCAAGGAGAGGCTCCCAACAGCAATCTCCTACAGCAGCCACACTGAGGGCTGCCCCAGGCAGGTGACTTGGAGCCCAGGGACAGCAGGGCCACACAGGCTGGGAGGAGAGGTGGACAGGCACTGCTATCACTCCATTCACCGGCCAAAAGCCAGGCAGCAGCTGTTAATTCTCAGTATCAACACCTTATAGAAATTGCAGTTTTATTTCCACAAGGTTGCAAGACACTGATCACTCACTGCAGTATTTTTTCATTAAAAATGAAACAAACAAATACAAAAATCACTTGGGTCAAAAAGCAGGAATTCAACAATTGGACAAAGCTGCGATACGCAGCATTACCACTGCTAGTATTTCCAAGGGAGACGTACTACTTACATGTTTTCAAACAATTTCTCTGAGAACTCCAGCTCGCAGCATATGAGCAGATGTGATTCCTATGCATACGTGAATATGCTACTCAGTCTTTGATTCACAGAAATACACTGAAAACTGGCATATATTTTTTAAACAACAGACTGCTAGTTTATCTTATCAATGAGCACATCCTCTTCAAAATAAATCTGCTTTCCACTGTACCTTGATTAATGGTGGTATCTACCTGATGGCTAGTTATCAGCATCATTTCATCAGTTCACCCAAAAAATATTTTTGGCTGCAACAGCTACATTTATGCACTGCAACATGATTAGCCAAGCTGGGCAAAAAGCCTTAATCAGAATGATGAGTTCTCAGATTAGTGCTGGCTCAGGTTCAAATTGCAGCTTTGAGCAACCAGTATTGTACTTGAATTTTGCTCATGTTTATAAACACTCTATACAAGAGTAGGGTTGTCTGGATATCTGCAAACTCCATCAGGCTGGTGCTCACGAGGTGTTTTGAGCCTGAGCCTGAATATCTGGGATAGTGCATATTTCACAGGGAAAGATGCAGGGCACTTTCCACCCCAGACTAAATCAATCTCACGGCATCAGGAACATCAGACCTTTTCAACCAAAGCCATTTGTCATAAATTCCTCAGGGCAGAGCAGAGGCTGGGAATGTACTCCCAGAGCTTCGTGCAGCGATTTCTAATGAGACAGTAACTTCCACAGCACGTTCAAGTGAACAAACAGACTTGCAGCCACTTCAAGCCACACAGGGATCCACAGGACTGTCCTCCTGTTTCCTCCTGTTTCCTCCTGTTTGAGAGGAGGCTCCCTACCTCCACTCACACTCACTGCTCATCAGAGCAATCAGGCTGCTATCCTATTCCCTCATAGCTGTCAGGCTGCAAATCTAAGGCAGCCAAAATCGCACTTTCCTCTTCTCCATAATTCAAGCAGCATCCTGCAGGGGAGAGCAGATTTGAAACGTTGGTTTTATCTCAGCAGGGCACTAAGACATTTTAAATCTTCAACTGTCACAAGAGAGAGAAGGAAAAACAAACAACAAGTCTCTGCTGAGCTCTGATGGAATAAACGATGCTGTTGGGAAATGTAAAGTCCTAGGATTATGCCCGTGAAGGAAATTCACAAAAATTGGTAGATAAATATGCAAGAAAAAATCTCTGCACAGCAATAAGAATGAAAAGGTTTTCAGGCTTCCATCTTACAGACAATTACAGATGTATTAAAATAATAAGTACCACTAGTTTGCAGAAGCCAAGGAGGTACATGCACCACAAATGCAGTATGGGTTCCAAAGCTCTTTAGGATGAAGTGATGTTAATATCAGAGCTACATGTTACTTCCATAGTACACATTCTGTGTGGCACAGATTCAGATTGGTAGCCTTGGGCACCGATAGCATTGCTGTTCTTTAAAATAAATTTTGTATAATTAGAACAAGAGATATAAGTCAGGTTGAGTAAGGTGCCTTTCAACTGAGAGGATTACGGAGGACTACTTTCTCACTCCAGCTAAGCACAGCTACTTCCACTCCTCCCCACATACAGCTGATTTTGTCCACGCATTAGTGATGACACTGCATCACTGAAGCTTCTGCAAAACTGAAGAACAGTGCATGTACTTATGTTCTTATTTAGTGGCAAAGTAATAAGTGTAATCATAAGCTGAAAATGTGGGACTTGCAGTCATCACCAATAAGTAAATTTTGGTTAAACCTTTAAAGGCAAGTATTGATTAAAAAAAAGCTCCAGTGCTTTCAGACACACTCTGATTTACCTGCATCTCAAAACAAAGAGCACAGGATGGTAGGACCCAGCCTGTATCACAGAGACAAACTCCCTCAAGCTTCACATCAGGTAAAGCCATGGCTACACTTTGCTGTTTTGGTGCTTCAGCATAAGCTTCTGCTGCAAAGCATCAGTGCCTGCAGCTGTGCTATCAGGCAGGAGCAGAGATGCTGATCTTTCATGTTACCTACACATGTAATGAGATTCATGGCCTCAGGCACCTCTGTGCCCACATCTTCAAAACCCTCTGTACACATGCAGTGCAAGCCACTGAGCTCAGTACAAACCACAGCAGCAATGGGCATTTCCCATGAACCATGACAGTGGTAGTACAGTGCTGACCTGTTGCAGAGTGTGTTACTGGCTAGCAAGTCTGTCAGCAAAGAGACCCAGATTCACAACCTCACTTCAAACTGAACTGTTCAAAGCCTCGAGAGAAGGGCAAGACTCAGGAGAACAGCTCTGTCCGCTTTCTGCTGGAGCCTCACTGCTATGACACGACATTCTGATGGGATCCTTGATTCTGCAGCCACCTGGTGGAGGGATGGGGAGCTCTGGCCCCCAAGCCCTATGGCTGCAGTGACAGAATTGTTTTATTCTGTGAAAAATGCACACATTTGGGCCGTTTGTACAACTGGGACCATGCCCCTCTCCCTCCTCCTTCCTCCTGCCATACTTTTTACGTCTCCTCTGGCAATTTTAAAAGCCACATGTTCTCACAGCAGCATCTGAAGTAAACACAGAACCGCAGAGTGGTTTGGGTTGCAAAGAACCATGGGCTCCACCTTCCACTAGAGCAGGTGACTCCAATGTCTCCTACTACTCTGATGATGTCTTCTTCCCCCTCCTATCAACAAATTGTCACTTTCAGACAACAGAACTGTAAATAATAACCCACGTATTCCATTTTATAAACTAATATACATAGCTTGAGCTAAATTAATATCACTGTTCTCTTACCTGATAAAAACATTCTCTCTGGCTTGTATATACAAGGTAGGCACCAATTTCCTCTTTCATTGCTGTGCACATATTTAAAACTCCAGCATCCTTGAGCAGAGATTAAGAACTACCCAACCAAAGTTTGCTGTTTAAAGAAAATTTTCATATGCTCTTTACCTTGAGGGCTTTCTGTGCAGCTTCACTTGACCCAATGGCAATCAGGTTTGGCCCAGCCATGCTGCAAAAACTCTTCAGATGCAAAGAATCATGAACAGGGACTGTGGAGACAGCATAATCCTGTGTGGGAGCAGAAAATGGTACTATAAATATTTTTAAGCTGTCCTATTTCCTTAATTATATTGAGACATTCCATAATTAATCATGTTCTCTACAAATTAACAATAGCAACGTATCCCAGAGCACAGTGTCAACTGCTTATGTATGACATACCCCTCTGGACCAGCTTGCCTAATCCTGCACATGGAGTAAAATCCAGAGCACATTTCAAACAACACTATTATCGCAGTGAAGCTGTGAAGCAATATGTTACAATGTGCAAATAAACGGTACGTACATAACTCTCCAGGGACCTGCGTTAAGAACAATGTGCTGACAGATCAGAACACTAAGAACATGTCAATATCCTTTCAGACTCCCACTACCCAAGTTACTTTTATGCAATGATTCCACATTTCAGATCCAACTTCAGTATACTATGTCAGAGGATGCTTACACTTTTTCATTTTTTTCATTAATTTCTACTTTTTTTAAAAGAAATTGTAAGAAAACCATTTACAAGTATGACTTAGCCAGTACAATTTTTCACTTGTCTCAGCAGAGGAGACAGCTTATACTTCCTGTAGCACAGGTCAACCTACAAACCTTAAATGTGTCAGCCAGAATTTCTGCCCCACGTTGATTTGTCCGCTTGGAAAGGCCTACAAAAAATTCTCTGCCTAGAATGAAAAAACAAGGAATGAAACAATTACAGATTTTTTTTTTTTTTTAGCAGCTCCAGTCAAACAAACCAGTTTCAAAACCAATCAAACAAAACCAATTTCAAAACCAGCCAACTTTAGAGACAATCTGAGGCAACCGCTAATGGATATAATTTCCGGTCTTTCCCTTCTTAAACTGAACAATAAAACTCAGCTCAGGAGTATGCAACCTGCAATCCCAAGCTGATAATGTAAAGCAATTATCTTCTTCCACACAACACGTTTTTCTGAAAACACAAATAGCTTCCCCTCCTAATGCAGTGCTTATGGAGTCAGGCAGGAGAACAGCTGGGCTGGATTAGCACAGCTCTGATGGGCGCTTCCCCTTTCCTCTGAGGTCTCCTCTGGCCTCCAGGCAGCTCTGCAGGTACTCTGACTCCAGGGGAAATGGGCTGGCACAGGACCTGCACCACATTAGGAAGACCTTCCTCCTCGGCCTGCTGCTTCTGGGACCCTCCCTGTCCCCCTGTGACCTAAGACAAGCAGCCAGCCTGCTGTGATGCTGATCAGAATGAACAGGCTCATTCGGCACAGGTGGGAGCAAGCATACATGCAGCTGATGTGAGAAAATGCCTAATGGGTTTAATGACATAAAAAACACTGTCAGTATCTTCACCCTTGAAGTCAACCATGCATAAGAGTTGTCTAGCACACGACATCTGGCAGGCAACTCTGCTGCTTTCTCCATAAACTAAAAGGCATTTTTTGTATTTGATTCACTGAACCAGTAACAACTGTCTGCATCAAGCTTCACAATTCCTGAAAATGAGTCTGTGTGAGCATAGCTGCTTGTAATAAGAAATATGAAACAACTGCAGGCAGCTGACTATTGAAAGCACGTTTCTTATTGGCACTTTACAAGCTAAAATAAAATTTGTATGCACAGTACTGTTCTTTGTACTGTGTGTACTGCTGCTTCATTTATTCAGGCATTAGACAGGACACTAAGGGCTGCACAGAAAAAATTAATCTCTCCGCTACCTACGTGACATTTAGCAAACAACTGATTTAACAAGCCATATGAACAACACTTTATTATGCAGACAACAGATAACATGCTGTCTTCTAGGCAGACAGAATATTTAAATGGCAAATTTACTACACTGTACCTGTAAATAGGACGTCTCCACCATCCAAGGTTGCATTTTCATCTACCATCTCTACCATGTTGAGGTTAAGACTTTCTAGTACTCTCTTCATGGCTTCAACCTATTCAAGAAAATGTTGTTTAGAGCACATTTTGCTTGTATCATTGAAAAACTTAAAATAACCTATATGAAATATGTATCTTCAGTAAAAAACAAAGTTCTTTAACAAACCAATAGCCAGCTTGACAGCAGAGCCCCTCATCCCTCGCCCACCACAGCTCCCAGACTTCCTGAATGGGGTGCCAAGCAGCCAGGGTTGGGCCATCACCTTTGCAGAGAAATCACATCCAGTGGGACACGTGGTCCAAAATTTATGTTAACTCCAGTTCTCCTGCACAGCAATGCTCTCTCTTGCAAATGCTTGTCCCTTAGATTTGAGCAGGAAAGAGCGCAGCCAGAGGAGTGATGTTCTCTCCTTCTGCCACACTCAGGCACAAGACACAGCTCTGTCAGCCAAAGAGGAAGAAGCTCTACCCTAGGGTCTCCCCTTTCAGCCAGTGAAAGAAACTGAGGTCAGTAAATATTCATTTTCTTTATATTTTTCCAGTTCTACTGAGTGCCAGTTCTCTCTGCATTCTGGAGCTACCACACCAGAGAACTTCAAGACTTTCCATTTCTATGCGTTATGCGTATTTCACTTCTGCGTGTTGTCTGTGCAGTTGTTTGCTGCTTTGCAAGCTGCTGTCAGGAGGTAAGGAATGCACCAGGGACACCATCTGATCTTGGATTTAATTTGCTCTCTGAAGCTGACTCTTTACCCCATTCATACTTCACAGTTGCTCTATAGGCAAAGCCCAGGCCAGCCTGAGGTTGTGCAGGATGAAGGCAGATCCCTGGGCCACCCGGAGAATGCTGATGAGTTACACTGAAGGCAGAACCACGTGTGCTCTCTGACACCAGCAAGATTTCTTTTTCTGATAGCAGAAGACCGCAAGAGAAAGCTCCCAACAGCTGCCAAGCCAGAGGCTGCCCTGGCCGCTGCCCACTGCCTGCACATGGACTATGCAGCCTCCCCAGCACTCAGAGGATGCAGCAGGCATTTCAGCCTCCTGCCACAGACCACCACCACGTGTTGCCCTGCAAAACAAGTGACCACATGCATTGGCTATTCCTGGTTACCAACACAAACAAAAAGGAAAGACTGCTTAATTCTCTCCACCACCCACTACTATAGGTGGTTGTGGAATACGTGCAGCCGCGTCTGTCTGTGCCAGGTCTTCAGTCATCTGTCTGAGGCACCTATAGACCACAGCATTGCAACAACGTGAAAGCTTCATGCTGCCCTAAGAAGTGACCTGGATGCAGTCAGCAGGGCACATCAGCAGAGGTAAGTGCTGACGGGGGAGGAAGCAGTGAGAGAATGGGAAGGTGGGTACAGTCAGCAGGGCTGGAGCGCATCTCCAGGCAGTGCTGCACATAAAGGTGCCTGCAGCTCCCTGGGCACACAGCACTCAGCCACACACTGTTAGCAGCCCCTATCTTGGAGAACCAATTGAGCAGAGCGCCCAGCAGATGAGGATAATGGAAGGTAAATGCTGACTTGGGGTTTGTCATTTCAGCCATACGTTTTAATTACCAGATGCTGATTACAATTTAATCACCAGGCTACATCAGAGACGCCTTGAATTGTTTCCTTATTTAATTTGCAGAGTTTGATGCAGCTGCAGCACAGACATTAAGGAAAGTTATCACATTTAAAAAGTTGTCTAGAATCACAGAAAACTGCTTTAATTTGCTCTGTGATTGTTCCAGGTTTTGAAGATATACATATATATGATTCTCAAGATGATTTTCTCCTCCAACAGTTGTGCTCATTTTAACTTCTGAAACCACATTTAAATTTAAAAAATGACTGCCATATAAATAGTTGGATCTTTTTTCCACCATGGGTGTTAATGGATTCATGTCTATGGCTCCACGTTTTGTAGAGCTATTAAGCAACCAGCAGAAATGCTGGGAGACTTAATTGGAAAGTAACGTTCACACGGCTGATGACATACGCTAGGAATATCTTTCAATATCCACAGCTTGTGTAAAATAAAAAAGAAGTCTCAAGTTACTGGAGTTTTTTTGTTTGTTTTCTTTCTATGAGCAATACCAGGATCTTCATTCAGTAGAAGCAGAAATGAAAAAAGAAACACAAAGAAGACTGGAGGGAAGACCTGATATTATTGAAAAGACTGCCGGGAAAAGAGAATTTGTAAATATAGAATTCTGGAAAAACAAAACCAAAACTGACAGCCCTTCTGCCTTTGCATACAGCTGAGTTGCCCACACAGGGAGCGCACAAACTGACATCATCCCTACCATGACATTTTTAGAGCAATACTGCAGCCTTGCATAGGTTCTCCCATGCAGCATTTCAAGATGAATGTTAGCAATCAAAGACACGTGACTGTCTTGGAGACTGAGCATACCGCATCACTGAGTGACTGGGTTGATAGCTACTGAAGTCCACACAAGCTGCTTGTCTGTATCTTGTTACTGCAAAAGGGAATTGAGAGCATCCTTAAGCCTTCGTGAGAGCACTCCCAAACCAGGAAGGATTGTGTCACTTTTAACACAGCTCCTACCCAGAGAAAGCATTAAGATGCCATCTCTGGCTAATGAAGGACAAGTGATTGCTACCCTGAAGTTAAAAGTAGGGAGCCAGGGAACAGGTTTGATCTATCCTCCTTGCATTTCATTCTTCCAAAACAAGCAATACCAGTTTTTATGAAGCATGGACCCTTAAGGCACATTGGTGTGACTTTATAAGAAAAGAAAGACAAAGTCACAGGGTTAGCTTTGATTTTGAACAAACAACCACCTCTTGCTTTTTTTCCCAGGAGAAAGTGAAAAAGGTGGATGGACAAAGTTTTCTGTGAAGCCACACTACCCAGGAGACAACAGTAAAATACTTTCAGTGTTTAGAAATGAACTGACTACAAGCATATTCACAATGAGGAAGACTTAGCATTTTTTTTCTTCAAAGCAGACAAGAAGAAAAGTCACCTTCCCTTACTCTATCTCCTTTATTTGAAAAATAAAACCCCAGGTAGTCAGAGTTGTAGCACACAAAGAAAACACTCATCTGTATCGTTTAAGTTTTCTGTATCATATTATCTCAGGTCAGCTTAAGGTTTGTAACACAATATTGGGTTTTATTGTAAATGTACCCATTAGTACATCAGTTGAGTGTTAAAGCTTGTATGCATTGTGTAGTGATATTTTTTCTAATAAGCACATTCCTGGTGTGAGACGGGATGTGTCTAATCCATAACAAAGCTGATGGAGAGACAATGGACTTCAGCCAGCTCAGTTCTGTTTCAAGGAAAGAGGACAATAACTGCATTTGACATTTATAAGAATCTAATTTCCTCGTGCTTTACAAATGGAGCTCATTACTCTCCAGACTGCTGGTTCCACCAATTATTGTAACTGATGTGCCGGGATTTTTCCTTCTCTATATTAGTATTTGATGCACTTGAAATGAAGGCTGTTTCCTTAATTATTTACTGGTATTCTGTGCACTAACCACATTATGAGATTCATGCAACTGACAATAAGAAGGAAACGATCTTTTCAAAGGATGATGGAAACAAGGAAATGACTTTGCAAGAGGGGCCTGAACCCAGCGCTGAGCTACAAAGCATGGGCTCATTCCAGCAAGAGCACCCCAGCAGGAAAGCTGCCTGGTTAACACCTGGACTGGGTACTGGGACATAGGCATGGCTTCCCCAAGGCTCCAAAATGCCACTGAGTGCAGGGGCACAGCTGGATCTGGGCAGAAGCTGTGTGTGGTACAAAGGAAGTATTCTTTAACGACTGCAATTACCCATCTGCCTTTGTCTCTGAGCCTCTGAGTTTTCTGTGAAAGGGGGAAGATGTTTACAGATCTGTTTCAAATGAAAAGACGCAGAGAGATTCGAAGGCTGAAGATCATCCAGTGAACTACTTATTAAATTAGGTTTCTAAAATAGCAGAGTTCAGCTTTAAGTGCTAACAGCTTCGATCTCTGGAGACCACAACCATCACTAAAAGGCCTCGCAGCCCAAGAAACACTACTTCACTGTCTCCTGAAATTTTACATCCACCACCATTTTCTCCGGCGTTGTAAATTACAATTATTTGGTTTCAGTCTCCACTTCATTGTCTTTTAAACTATCATTTATAGCTACGCGAAGCAAATGTCAGACTCAGTATATTCAAAAGTTAGATTCTGATATCTCTGAGGTGACTATTTTGGGAGCCATTAGTTCTGAGTTCACGAAGTGCCACTGTCAATATATAAAGCATTTTTCAGCAAGTCTCTGAGTGAGGAATATAAATAGAGATGGACAAATCTGGGGCCAGGAAAGGGTAGACTTCAGCTCTGCAAAACCAGATACCAGTGTTGGTCGTGATCCAGATCCTAGCCTGTCTGCATCTGCTCAGCTGGGAGATGAAAGAAGTATGTCTCCTGCTGATGATAAGCACTGTCATTCTGGGCTTGCAGAAAATAAAGAAAATAAAGCAGCACTGTAATAGTCTTGAGGTTTTTTGAAAAGAGAAACCCACTACTGGTTGTTTTCTCACTTTAAGTAAATGAGATACACACCCTAGTGTATACTGATCTCAGAAATCAGTAGGATGGGGGTTATGGAAGAGTTTCCAACTCCTGCTTCCAGCTTTGGTCCTTTCTCTGCTGACACCAGAAATGGTGATCTCCTCCAAGCAGATCAAACCATAAAAGCACTATGTGCAGGACAAGTAACGTCAGCTCTGTCCCAGCAAGCAGGCCCCAGCACTGCATGGTAAGGACACCCTGTACCTGCTGTTACCACCTGTGCCAGCTGAAGAACTGCAGTTTGTTTTGACAAGTGATTCAGGGATCAGTGGAGGGTAATAAAGATGATAAAGGGCCTGAAGCACCTCCTGCATGAGGAAAGGCTGAGAGATGTTCAGCCTAGAAAAGACTGAGAGGGGATCTGATCGATATTTATAAAAATCTGAAGTGCGGGAGGCAATTGGATGAGATCAGACTGTTTTCAGTGGTGTGTAGTGGTGGGATAAGGAGCAATGGCCAAAAAACAGTATATA